ATTTCACTTCTAGAATATTTTGATGCTTTGATACTTTTGTACTTTTACTAGTACTTTGAATTGAGCCCCATTGAGTTGTTCTTATCATTTAAAAAACAAATACAACAAACAAAGATTTTTCAAAGGAATGGCAAAATGTTAAAAATATCTTTGATTTATTGTACACATCAAATCAGGTAGAAAACTATGGTTCAAAACATTTAGAGCATTCACAAAGAAAAAAGAACAAAACAACACAAAGCTGTTGAAAACTCAACAGGTAAAGCCAGCGTGTGCTAAATCAAAGGAAAAAGTGCTTGGTCTGCAGTTTTTTTTCACCCACACTCTTCACACATTGCACCTGAACACTAAGCATAAACCAGGATGTGGTAGCTCAATCACTTTACTGCAGATAAAACACAAATTTCTGTAAAAGGAAGAGAGATGCACTACAGCAAAAGGTTAAAGATTACGAGTTCAGCCATCTGAAGCCGTCTGTGCAATTAACTGTGCATCACCGCGTGTTGAATTATTAGCACTGCATCGTCTCTGAGCATTACAGGAGACCCCTGAAGTCTGTGTTGACATCCGTGCTTAGAGATGTAACTAAGTAAGCATTGTGATGGTGGCAAGAGCAGGTCTGCCGAGGCCTCTGGGATCTTGGTGGTAATTCAGGCACTGCAGGTCTGAATTTCTTTTTATACTGGAGGAAGACAAAGGAAACGTTTTCACTCGAACACAGTCACATCCTCTTTGCTTGACTTTTAACAACAAGTCTATCTACTTCACACTTACTCGTTTGCACCTCATAATCAGCACTCCAATGATGAGGGACAGTATGACAGTAAATCCTATGACGACAGAGCAAATCAAGGTCAGATCCAGTATGGAGTTTGTGCATTGTTCCTCTGGGCCACCCTCTGTGTGTGAGAGAGAAAAAAGCACGTTATAGACAATTAAATTGAAAGTTACACCACTTTTAATGGAAGTGGATTGCATATACTGAAATGCATGATTCTCTTCACCTTGGACGATAATGACTGTGCCATTGCTGGTCATGAGCAGCTTGTTGAATTTCTCGTCCGTGTAAATCCACTCGCAGTAATACAAGTTTGTGTCCTCGAGCTCCAGCAAAGACAACTGGAAAGTGAACCCACGAAGTTCCTGTGGGATCTTCTTGGCTGGACTTATGATTATTCGGCCTTTGAATTTGTTAGATGTGGTATTCTTGGTGACTGAAAATCCATTCAAGTCCAGGTACACAACATCTTGTTCCTTGTGGAAACGCCTATGCATGTACAGCCCCATTGGATTTTCCAAGGATGTGGTGCACACGATTTCAGCAGATGAATTGACTCTCATGAAAGTGATGGCTGAAGGATTTTGGAAAGCTGTCAGGGAGAGATGAATCGTTAAAAAGAATCACTTATACAGAATTTTTGTTTTGTTTTAACACCTTATACATCAGCTCCACCACAGGGCACTGGCAAATAAACTTTAATTGCAATAAAGCAGAAAAGGCACAATTTGATCCAATTCGTCATTTGCTCAGTTCAGTACAGTTGTTGGGGCTGCAGAAGGTAACCACAAAACCAAACTACACCCAGTAACTGTATATAAAGTGGCCTAACCTAGATTTAGCTGCAGCAACATATTCCAGTCATGTCACTTGCAGTGGGCTTTTTTTGTAGACAACTAACTTCTACGTACATATTTTTGGTGCATCACTACATTTACTGTAAAGAGTGATTTAAAAAGACCTTTTTAAATGATGGGTTTTTTGAGACACTGCTAAGAGGCCCAAAACAGGATGAAGCTGCAAACAAACAGGAAAAGATGACTCAGACTCATCTTCAATGACATCTACAGTTATGTAAAAAACAGGGTTTTCTTCCCAATAAATTCACCCTGGGGTCAGACCATGCAGGGCTCAGAGAAATAGGCAAAAAACGTAAGAGCTTAGGTTTAGACTTCTGGAACTATGAACTTTGGACAGAGTTAAAGCAATGTGGGGACCCTTGGTCATGATGCACGACACTGAGAAAACCAAACACAG